GTGAGTTTGAACTGCTGACCTTTTAGGTATAACACCAGAGCTCCATAATGGTGTTGACTGGTTATTTACTTACTGGGTATTGCTACCTCTGGATAGCCAGGACTATTTACAAGTATAATTTTGTGTGATTTTTCATATGCCCATGTATGGGTTATAAGTAAGAAAGCTCTAGTAGCCTAGTGGTAAAAAGCTGCACAGCAATCCCAAAGGCATGAGGTTGGAATCCACCAGCTGCTCTGCAGGAAAAGGCTGGGCAATGATATCTCCTGTGTGATTTACTGAACACCTGGAAGGTCAGCTACAGGTCAGTTCTGCCTCAATGGCAAACAACAAACAACAATAGGTTATAAGCAGAGAATAATTATGTTAGTTTTTATGATGGTTTGGTGGTAGAATCCTTGTCTTCTACTTGGAACACCTGGGTTCAGTTTTTGGCCAATGTATTTCATACACAGCCACCACCCTGACTCAAACAGCTTCTTAAATCTGGAAGCACTGCTAAAAACTAGTCAGTAGAACTTTATACCCAGTGTTGTCTTATCTTCAATTACAGGATAATCTCCTTGAGGACGTGGTCTATCAAGTTATCTGAATGTTATAAAACACTGCTATTGTTGTTGTTGTTGTTGTTGTTGTTAGATGCCTTTGAATCAGCTTGAAGTCATAGTAACCCAATGTGAAATAGAACGGAAAACTTCCCGATCCTTCAGAATAATTCTAAATCAATCATATTTATTGAAACAACGAAAAATGCCTATGAGTATCAAAGTATTTTACATGTTGACAGCAGGTGTGTATCGAATACACAGTGTAGCAGTCGCTATGAACTGGAGATTATGCACATATGTTGTTTTGTTGTTGTTGTTGTTGTTGTTAGGTGCCAATGAGTTGAGCAAGACTCATAGCAACCCCATGAACAGCCAGCTTGAACCTTACCCTACCCCATGGTGGCCTCATCATCACTGACGCATTAAAGCCCATTGCTAAAGTCACCATCCTCTCCTTTGCTGATCCTCCATCTTTCCACACAAGATCTCCTTTTCCAAATATTCGCTTTGCCTAGCTATATGTTCCAAGTATAAAAGACAAAGCTTTGCCATCTTTGCTTCAAAGGAGCACTTTGGCTACACTCTTTCCAAGACATAACTGTCCTTTTGGCAGGCCATGAGATTCAGTACTCTTCTCCAACACCACAACTCAAAGGCATCAATTTTTCTTCTGTTGTTCTTATCCATTGTCCAGCTCTCAGTGCATAGCAGGTTGATTGAGAAGAACATGGCCTGAATCAGGTGCACCTTAGTCCTCAAACTGACATCATTACTTTTCAGCATTGTGGAGAGGTCCCTGACAGCAAACTTGCCCAATGAAATACATTTTCTGATTCCTTGACCTGACTACTGGAATTAAGGGTGTTGATTGTTGATCCAAGCAAGACAAAATCATTGACAGCTGTAGTCACTGATCCTTTTTAAATATATAAATATAGATATATAAATCTATAAATATAAATTTATATACTATATATAGGTTTATAACACCAACAACAAAAATATAGCTTTCTATATAAATATATATTGCATATAATATACAGATTAAATAAATACATATGCTTATCAGGTAGTGTTTTGTTCTGTTTGTGTAGGGTCTATGAGTTGCAACAATCTTGACAGTTTCTAAGTATATATTGTCATCGATGCCATTGAGTCAATTTCAACTCATATCAATTCTCCACTGTGTTTCTGAGATATAAATCACAATGGGAGCAGACTGCCCATCTTTTTCCCAAAGAGTCACTGAAGCTTTGGATGATGATCCACACCTCACTATGGATGATGCCACTGAGCTCCTTAGACACACACACACACACACACACACACACACACACACACACACACACACATAAGAGAAAGGAGAGAGAGAGAGAGAGAAGAGAGGGAGGGAGGGAGGAAAAGAGAGAGAGAGATCACACACTCAGACTGAATTTTACATGTTTTGACAGTAAAATAAGTTTCTTATTCTATCATTGACTTGCTAGGATTAATACATATGATTGTTGACATAGATTGTTAATAAAATTTAAGAGGGGGATCAGAGAGTGTTTAAATATGTACAAAGACAAAATGTTCTAAAAAGACTTTGCTTTACTTAGTGATAGCATCAGATCGTAGAACATAATGCTTCAATTTGAAAACTCCACAACAAAAAGAAACCCCAGAAGTTAATAATGCTACTTCAGTCCAGACTTGTTAATGAAAATATCTTTTATGTGTTATCCAAAAAGTTACCTAAAGCTCAATAGGTTTATGGGGAAACAGCCTGTATTCTTATAGGTTGTTTCCAGAAAATACAGGTAGGGCTCTTAGAGCAGGTTTATTGTGAGGTTGATAAAACTCATTCCCTATCTCCGTCACAAAACTCCGGCATGTGCTCTTATTCTTAAAGCGACCACTTCTACTCCATCCAGCACACACATGCACACATGTGGAGGCACAAATGCATCAGCTTTAGGCACCTAAAGCAAGTGTCCACCCCTGTCAGACACATCCAGTGGTACATTAAAGATTAAGAGAACTAACTCAGTCCCACAAGAACAAGTATTGTATAAAACCATTATTGTAGAACGAGTAAAAGGACCCAAGGGGGAAGGGTAGAAGCAGAGGGAAGAGGTTGCGCAGGGGGAGGGAAGGATTAATCATGGGGTTGTACAATTTGTTGGGCATGGGGGTAAGGGAAATTGGAACAATCTCTTCTGGAAAACAATGTATTCTAATTTCGTAAATAAACTAGTATAATAATGTTGTTGTTAAGTGCCATCGAGTCATAGACAACTCAGCGACCGTATGACGAAAGACAAAAAGAAAAAGAGAGAACCAGGCTAGAATTTGGAAAATATTATCCAAAAGTCATTGTTGATTTCAAGCGTTTCACAACAGTGTTAAGGCCTACTATGGCATTGTTACTTTTACTTTTCCCAGGACAAAAAATTAAATCTAGACAATTATGCTATATAGAAACTCCTTTCATTAATTCTATGTAGTACTCAACCAGATTGCTATACTCAGAATCTATTTTCCATAGTGAGTAAGCTGTCTTCACTGGTGCAGGGTAGAACTCGTTACAAACTGCTGTTTTTCGTCTGAATTTGTTTGGGTCAGCTTTATTATACACAGAACTAGGCAATCAACTCAAATGTTAATTAAGACTTCCTTGATTGAAGAATTAAGAGTAAGTCTTGTTCGACATTCGCGAGATTTAGAATCTTTTTAAAAAAAAAAAACCAAAGATATAAATAAAACAACACACATACACTTTTTTTACAAAGATACACACACACACACACACACACACGCGCGCGCTGTAATGTCTGTTTAGGCTACCTGAGTTTTTGAACTGGAGGAGTGTTTCCTTAAAGCCTATTCTTATGCAACCATCCGTCCCGCCTTTCCTTTGCTCCTACCCCTCTTGGGGTTTGTAACCCCTCCGATGCCTAGTGAGCCACTGACTTTGTGGGTAACGTGGTGTTAACATGTAGTCGCTGTTTTTTAAGCCTGTGTGCTTCGCCTACCACGCCAGCAGCTTTACTTTGACGATGCCCCCTCCCCACCACCCCTGGGTAGGTCCCTGGACTTAATTCCCTCTCCCTCTGGCAGTGTTTCCTAACTTGGGAAGGGTCTCGCTACACTTCTGCTGAAAAGCCTCCGGCGGCCTGCGGTCTCCCAGCCTCCCAGCACGGAGCCCTTGCTTGTCCTAGAAGAGCCACCTTCGGGAAGGTCCCCTTGAGGTGGCCACACCACGAGAGTAAACCTGCCAGGGAAAGCAAAAAGGCGGCCCCTACGCACTTCCAATAGGACGCGGCCAGTTCCCCGGCTGGGACGCGCCCCGGGGCTGGCTGGGGGCAGGGAGTGTCGCCGCCGAATCCCCAGCAGGCCGCTGGTCCCACCTCCGACTCCCTGGGGCTCCCGCCCTCGGCCCCACCTCCCCCAGCTCGCACAAAGGCGCCCAGGGGTGGGGGGTCAGGCCTGCTGGGGCCACCTAGACGCCACCGGACCCAGGCCTGGCCACGCGCGTCCCGGCGTGAAGGCCTCGCAGACCGCCGACGGGGAGGGAAGGACGTGCTTCCCCGCTGGTCCTTCGAGGCGCGGGAACTCTAACCCCCCACCCGGGCCCAGCCCGAGCCCCCCGCGAGGAGGCCTCCCGCTTGCCACGCCTGGGGTGGTGGCTGCAGCGTGTGGAGGGGCGTCCCGCCCGCGGAGGGATAGCGGTCTGCGGTCGGTTCGGGGGTGGAAGGAGCAAGTGCAGACCCCCGCGGAGCCCGGGGGGCGAATGGAGACGTTACAGGCGGCCCTCTGCGCCCCAGTGAGGCGCAAACCCTGGGCTTCAAATCAGTTCCCTCCATTTCCGACAGGCCCGAGCCCCGCGGGCACCGGGGTAATGCGGCCGAGCAGTGCGGGGGCGGGTCGAGGGGCGCGGGCCGGGTTGGGGGCGCACGGCGACCCCGGCCCCGGGCTCCCCTCGCGGCCCGTCGGGGGCGCACACGCGGGCGCGCATACGCGCGCCCTCGGGCCCAAGTGCGGGAAGATGGCCGTTGGTGCTTCAGTATAAAAGCTCTTTGTTGCGTTCACACAAAAGCAGCCAAGACCTGCTTTGCCAACGGGCCTTTGGGGCCAATGGAAGGATAGCCGCTGAACCCCCAAATGGCCCTGGAAGCCTTAAGCAGAAGGTGCAACTTAAGGGACAGGAATGGGGATCACAGGCCTCCCAACTCGCATCACCCCAAACTTCTGTCAACATCCACATAGTCGTACTTGAGAGGTAAGGGAAGAAAGCAAATGGGGGGAACCCAAAAAACTACTTTTACTATCAAGGAGGCCCAAACTGTAGAGATTAAACATTCACATTCTTGCAGAATTTCTCTCCTTGATCAGGGTAGAAACATAATCCGGAAAAGTCTGGATACACCAAAACGAAAACGGGAAGAAAAAAAAAAAAAAATAACAAACCAGTTGCCATCAGCCCAAAGTGGTGGTAGCAGCAGCCGGCGCGTGTGATCCACTTACTTGTCCGACTCTTGTGACATGTTTGATCCAATGAACTCGCTCCCCTTTTCCTGGAGCCTCAGCCTCTGGTGAAACTGGACTTTCAAGTCTGTGCAGGTGAAGGTGTGTGAGAGCGCCCGAGATGGCAGAACAAGAGCTACAGGTAATTCTGCTTTTCAGTCCCCCCTCACCACTCTCGCTCGCTCGCCCGCTCGCGCGCCCTCACCTAGCCGGAAAGGTGGGATAAGGGGGGGCCCCTCACATGGGGCCCGAGCTCGGAGGCGGCCGGGCGGCGCGGAGTCCTCCCGGATCGTAGCAATGGGAGACACAGAGCCGAAAGTGGCGGACTTGGGCGGCCACAGGTAACTTTCTCGCAGGGAGCTGAATTCTTTCACTACAGGGTACAAGCCCCAGGGACGAGCTGCGCGGTGATTGGCTGCGGGGCTCCCTCAGGTGCGCTCCAATTGGCAGAGGCGCACTCAGGTAAGGCCCTTCTCCCAGAGCAGGTAACTCACTCCGAGAAGTTTACCTGAGTGGAGCGGTGGCACGTTTGTGGCGCGGAGGCCGCTTGTGGGAGTCGAGGGTCAGTGGTTCGTGGACGCTTCCAGCCCCCGAGGCCGTGGGCTGGGAGCGGGCAGGAAAAGGGACACCTGTGAACCGTAGGGATTGTGGATTGAAAGGAAAGACAGACGATGGCCGAGTTCAGATGGCCCACACCAAGTGGAATCAAAGCTGCAGCCCCACCACAACCCGAGCTAAGAGGACTGGGTGACAAAGGCCGAAGCGGACGCGGGTTTAAGTTGCGTTGCGACTTCTTAGAGGGAGAAGAAACGCAGAGATCTCTCTGGGGCGTAGCTGCATTTTTAACGTTCTTAACCACGGCGCACACTTGTCCTATCCGGAGGAGTAAAAGATGCCAGGTAGATGACAGGTTTTCCCCAAAGCACATCCTTTCACGAGCTGGGCGTGCGTTTTGGTGGGTGAGGAGATCGGGTTGAGCCCATACCAAAATGGCCCACGCGCATCTCTGCCTTCTCCACTCCACAGCCCCAGATTCCAGAGCTGCGACTCATCCCTAAAATCCTTTCCATCAACCTGTTGTCATTTGACGTTTCCAGGCAGGCATCAACATTTACACTGTAATTCAATAGACGCAGATACTACAAAGGTGCTTTATTCTTCCAGTTTAACATGGTTGCTACGGAAACATTTCAGGACGCGACGGACTTTTTTGTGGTGATTGCTTTTGGTTGGCAACAACACTAACGAACAGAGATGTAGTTGGTAACCACTGTTGCCAAAGCATGTGTGTGAGGTAAGGAGCTGTGCTACCTATAACCCAAAGACAAATGGTTGGAATCCACTAGCTGCTACATGCAATCAAGGTGGACAACCTCCTCCCTTGTCATTTACAGTCTCGAAAGATGTTAGAGAGTCAGCTGTGAAGTGCCAACACAATGTCACATAACAAACAACATCACCATAGAGTGAAGTGCTTGTTAAAAGGTACTTGGTAAAAATTCTTGACAAAAAGCTAATCCACATACATAGATTATTAAGTAAGGAAGGCATTATTACTGGAATGGTGACTCAGAAATACATGTTGAAAATCCTGACCGCTATGCACTGTGGTTAGGGAGCTCTGGTGGCCTAGTGGTAGAATCTGCACTGTAGTCCTGAAGGCTTGAAGTTCTAATCCACCAGTTGCTCCGTGGGAGAAAGATAGGAAATAATCTCTCATGCAATTTACTATCTCTGAAAACCCTACTGGAGGGTCAGCTATGGGTCGGGGCAAACAACAACCTGCACTATGGTTACAGTTTCATTTGGGAGTGTGTTGTCTTTTTATGTTGATGAGACAGGGTTAGTGTAGAGCCTGTCTTGAGCCAGTCTTTCCTGAGATTTGAAAGATTAAAATGCAAGCTAGAAATTAGAGATGGAGGAAGGAAAAAGGCTGTCAAGGCACATGAGGATCACCTGCGCTCAAATAATCAGAAGAAACAAGGATCTTTCTCCATCTATGACAGAGAGGGGGGGAAATCTTCCCCTGGTGCCAGCATCCTGAATCTGAATTTCTAATCTGATGCTAAAACTGATTAAATTAATATAATTTTTATTTTAATCTTTATGGATCATTGTTGTTGTTGTTGTTAAGGGCCATCGCGTCGTAGATGACTCATAGCAACCCTATGAACCAAAGACCTGCACACTTGTATAACTTTCGTTGTTTCTCCAAGTTCAAAGAGTTTCCACAGGCAAGCTATTTTTGAAGTGGATGCCACTCCCACTTTCCAAGCCTATTTTAATCTGGGAACTTCACCATCACTGTCCACCATGGGTGAAGATTATGGCATCTGACACATCAGTGTCACAGTGTTTAGCATCACAGCAACCACCAGTTACTTCTGTACAGCAAATGGACAGACCAGATCATATATCTCCTGAAAGATGGCATAATGAGGCTTAAGATTTCACTGTTTCATATTTTCACTCTCAGCAGATGAATTTCAAAATTTTATTCATACTTCTTCTGAAGACAATAGAAACCCACACGTTTAAATGTTTTAAAGACAATATAAACTCATTCATTGCCAACAAGTGGGGACCATTTCCTAGCTAACCTTCCAGCCAGCTTCCAGGGGTTATAAATCACACAGGAGATTACCCATCTTTCTTCAAGGAGTGACTGATGGATGGAAAACCACCAGAGAATCTAACTTGACAAGGTTAGTGCAACTCCCTACAGAATAAGCCACCAGAGCCTTATCATATATTTAGTATCTAATGAGTAAGGAAGACTGAAGAAAAACTGATGCCTTTGAATTGTGGTACTGACAAAGGGTTATTGAATATTAAAAAAAAAAAAAAAAGAAAAGAAAAAGAAAGAAACAAATCAGTCCTGGAGAAACTGCAACCAGGATGTTCCTTAGAGGTAAAACTGTCTCACATACTCTTGAGTCTTTTGTCAGAAAGTGCTGCTGCTGCTGCTGCTGCAGTTGCTGTTGCTGTTGTTGTTGTTAGGTGCCTTCGAGTCAAGTGTGACTCATAGTGACCCTATGAATAACAGACTTGAACCCAGCCCTGTGCCACCCTCATCATCTCTGACATTTTTTGAGTCCACAGTTGCAGTCAATCTTCTCGTTGAGTGTCTTCCTCTCCTTTGCTGCCCCTCCATCTTTCCAAGTAATAGTCTCTCCTAAGAAGCTGTGATGCAATCGCAAAGGCACGCAGTTCAAATCTACCAGCCTCTCTGCAGAAGAAGGATGGACGGTCTCCTCCCATGCAATGTACTGCCTCTGAAAACCTACTAGAGGGCCAGCTATGGGTCAGTTCTGACTGGACGGCACAAAACAACAACATGCCCGAGGTATGTATGACAAAGCTAGTATGTAGAGAAAGACATTCTTCTGATATTCTCTCAAGATGCAAAAATCTGGAGGTCTTTTCTTTTGTGCTCTTCCATGTCTTGAGAAAAATACTTTCCAATCTCTTGACTAAGAGAGCATGCATCCATTCACCTGGCTCCTGATATTCTGGGAGCAGCTGAGGAGAAGTCATTGTTTAGTATGTGATTATTCCCCACTATCATTTCCAGTTGATGCCTTATGCCTACACTTCTTTGTTCCTGGTGTCCCTGAGTCTCAAGCCTCTCTTGTTTCTCCTGCTGGAGGTCTAATCACCTAGCTGCATGGAGTGGTACAGGGGACCAGAGACCCTCACTATTCCTATGCGTTTGTAGGATAGAAAACTTCTACCTTGTCAAAAGCAAAAACCTTATAAGACTTGGGAAATTAGGCAGTCACAAAAATTTCCAACTCTCACCAGTTTCAAGATATGGCTTTCATATATTACCCTTCCTTCATCTTCTTTAATGGATGATTTACATTTTACAAAACCCACTGAAGGGGCAGCTATGAGTTGGTTCTGATTCAGCAGTACATGATATCCTCTTTGCCCCTTTTATATGGATTTTTTCTGTTTGTATACTTTTACTATGAGTTTAGTTCAGGTTTTGGAAAGAACGAACATAAAGTGTAATCAATCTGTTAGCGTCTATGTAAAACCCATTTTCAAAAGTTTCTAAAAACTTACCCATGAGTCCCAAATTTGTTTTTATAAAGGAAGCTAGTATTTGTAGCCAAATCTTTCCTTTCATTGTCTATGATGGTGTATGTTTTTTCTTCTGCAACATTTAACAGTTCAGCTTTGATTAGGTAACTTGATGTTTCTTTGATTGTGTCTAATGACCGCTTTGTTAATTTGTTAGATTAATTAAGGGGAAGGATTACAATAAACCACTTTAACTTGTTGACCAAGAAATTATTTCCGTTACACAAACATTTGGATTCTTTTAGCAGTAGACTTGCAAATGAATATGATAATTTCTGCCACAGCCTTCCTGAGACTATGTTGCTTCCTACAGACTCCTTTTTCCATGGACACATCAGCAAAGTTGTGGTATTTAAAACAGATCCCTGGACCATCAACATCAGATCACTTGGGAATTTGTTGGAAATACAAATTTATGACATGACCTCAGACTTTACTGAATGAGAATCTCAGGAGAGGGGGAAGAAATCTGTGTGGGTACTAATACAATCAGTTGGTACCAGTAAATCAGATGGCACATGCTAGCATTTGACACTCACTGAAGTGCAGTAGTTTGAAAAGAAGAAATAGCACATCCTTAGCTCTTAAACCTCGTCATCCTAACTTAGGCTGAACTTGGAGATTCCCAGCAACTTTCAACCACCATAGGATAATTAACCAGTATTTATTTGTGTCAATAATTCCATTTTTAGTCTGATTACTTATTGTCTGAACACTGTCTTTGATTGGGGAAGCTACAAGAACAAAACTGGACACTGAATCTGCCAAGATTCTCACCAAGGAGTTTCAGCAGCCATTTAAAGGGGCAGCAACAAATTACATTTCTATATCTGCCATTCCAATGCCTGAAAAGTCTTGAGGATTCTATTTTTAGGATGAATAACCTATTATGTTTATGATATTAATATTTTAGTGAAAGAATATCTTAATAATAGTCTTTAGC